AACAAAAAAAAATGGTAGAGGGAGAACGAGATAAAGAGAGAAACTGTAAAAGATGAAATTTATAGCCTTGTATACGAGGACATCCCATATACATACACACATTCATACATTTTATATTTTAAGAGGATATTAGCAGAAATGTTAAATACATATGTGAATGTAAACTTTTGCCTGTATCTATATATTAAAAGAACAGATGAACAAACAATCGCGTGTCATTATAATATACTACCCGCTCTCTACTGTCCCACTACACCGTAATTGCTTGCTGCTCCCACAATTTTTTTTATTTCACAGCAAAAGGAAAAAAAGGAAAGCTATACATTAACATAAAAGAGAAAAAAAGGTTTATATACTTTAATTTTTTTATAAAAATATAACAAAAAGAAAAAAAAAACTGTAATACGTTAAGGTTATCGGAAATATTGTTTAGGGATTGTATTTTTTATTCTGTTAAAAAAAAATACTCTTCGAAAACCTATTCAGTCAGTAGTTAGGCTTAGGGTAACATGAACAGGTGATAAGTTTTTTTTTTTTTTTATTCTTGTTCAGTTTTATTGAATTACGTGAATGCAGGTAGTTACGTTTTTTTTTATTATAAAGAATTATTTACAAGAAAAACATACATATACATTTATAAAGAATTATTTACAACATACATATACATTTATCGGTATGTCCTTTATAAGTATATAAACTAAAAAGAAAACCTTTTTTTTTAATACAATTTTGAGCCCCAAAATATAAATTCATAAAAAAAAAATTAAGTATTCTAATGTTATTCTGTGTTATTAATATTTTACATTTTTAGGTCATAGTTGTACAAGTATCGCAAGTATGTGAGAAATTTTGTGAAATATACATACATATTTTCTTAAATGTTCGAGCATTAACCATGTTTTTGAATTGTAATGTCTTAAAACTCATTTCTTTCTTAGTTATTACAATTATAGTGACGATTTCACTTTCAAAGTATTTAAAACAAAGTAAATTAAGAAGTAATTAAAAACTTTAAGTGGTATTTGAATGATTTTAAAAGTTTTAAAAAAATTTTGTAGGGACAGAAAGAAAGTAGGTATTCTAAACTGGCAGTACGAATCTTAAGAAAATTTTTTTATGTTTCAATTGCGATATCTTCCGATTGGGATAATTTTGACCGCATACATAAGATTTATACAATTTTAGAGAGCTTGAAATGTTTATACTTCAAGAATGTGAAGAAGTTCAAATAGAAATTTTGGATTTTTACAATTTCTTCTACTATAAGTAATTAATTTTGATAAAAAGTTGTGAGAAGGTACCACTCTCCAGTACGTTTTGGAAATGTACTTGAAATACTTTGCTGCAACCCTGCAAAAAAAAAAACAACCCTTACCTCGATATTAAAATTTACGAAATATAAATTTTGAATAAATAAATATGATTGAACAATGTAATTTTTATTTTATAATCATTTATATAATAAATATATTTATTTTTTTCTTCTTTCTTGTAACTTGTGAGTAACAACAGAATCTTAAACATAATAATTATATAGGTATGAGTACAATGAAACGCACATTAATGTCAAAGTATTAAAACTCCTGTACTAAATTTATGGTAAATTCTTAAACGTCAAATTTTACAAAATCTGAGTTGTCTGAGTTTACGAATACTCTACTGCGTTTTTACTTTCAGTCAAAGTTTAAATTCTTAAACGTTTAAAAAAAGTCAATTAAGCGTCAAAATTGTAGATTTTTTTTTTTACATGCAGACAGTCTGACGTAGTAATTCAGTAAATAAATTTGATGTATTGAGTGACTATCATTACGTTAAAAATAATATAAAAAATATTTTTTTTGTTAATTTTTAATATGTAAGTATAAAATTATTTTAAATCTAAAAAAAAATTTTTTTTTGTTTTGACGTTTACGGATGATCAAAATTCAAAGTCAATTACGGGTAAAAAGTTTACTACATTTCTGTCCGTAAAAGTTTTATACGTCAGACAGTTTGCAGACTGAAAACAAAATTTTGACGTTAAAGAATTTGCGGTTATACTTTGAGTTAAGTTTTTGGTCGAAAGATATAAAATGAACAAAAAATCTATTGAATTGTTTTTTTTTGTTGCAAAAATAATAAATAAAAATAAAACCCGACAAACAAGAGAATGTAACTTAATCGTTTCTTAAAATTATAAGTCTCCCTCTTTTATTAAAAATTAAAAAAATTAAAAATGTGTAATAAAATACAAAATTATGTCATTTTAAAACAAAATAGAATAAAAAACTGCAATTTACTGCACACAACTACACAAATTGCTATAATCAATACCAAAACGTGAATATCTTCTTCACTGTTACAATAAAAAAGTAGTGGCGCGCATTATGTTAATAATGATAAAATGGAAAAACGCAAAGACAAAAAAAATTTGTTTTAAACATCTGTCACCCCAAATCAATTTGTATCGATAGCTATTAAGAGCCTTAAGATATTTGTGGTTCTCTTCATTTTATTTTTTTATATCAATCTTTAATATCAGGTTTTTACCAGGTTTCTTATATGCATAGTTATTCTTCACATTTTTGTCATTCAAAAAATGAAATGTGCAATGTCAGAAAATATAGTAGGTACCTAACACTAAATGAAAATAAGAAATTTTGATACATTTATATAATTTGATACGTCATAAAAGGAATAGAAAAAAGTAAAATTTTTCATATAGTATTCATATAGTATTATTGTAGTATTATTAGGCGTAGAAGGATACCACTCTGAGCTCTGAAGTAACCAGAGCAGTTTCTTACATCCGTTTGATATCTAAAGCTACTATCTTAAGAAAATATTAGATTGACGGAATTATTATTATCGCAATATTCCAATTTACATGTGAAACATTTTTTCCTTGTATAAATTACGAATAATATAAGATCCAGAGTACTGCCTTTATGTACATTACCTCCAATTTCCTGGTGTGGAGTACTCTGCGTTCTGTTTAGAATATATGAATTCAAAAAATATTGATTTCCTTTAAGAAAATTTTCACATTTCAAAAAACTTCAATAAATTTCAAACTAAAAACAAACTACATATGCAGTTTATATTTTGAATTGAAGTAAATTAATTGAGAAAAAAAAAGTTCAATTTATAGGTTACTGCTCCCTTTTTCGAGACTATGTCTTTATATTTCTCGTAAACATCAACCCCTTTCTCAATTATAAAAAATTTTATTAACAAATTATTCAAACAAAGCTTTGGTTTTATTTTTTTTTTTGTTTTCATTTCGTTTTCGGTCAGAATTCTATGAAATTTTTAAACGATAAAGGAAGAAAAGAACAAAAAAACCCCGATTCTTTTAAAATGATCCTTTTAACATTCTAATTAATTCCTAACGCTAGGATTGTAATAAATTAAACGCAACAAGGGGGAAAAAAAAGAACAACTTATGTTGTTGTTTTTCCAACATTTTCATTAAAACTAAAATTAATTTCATTTTACTTCCTAAAACCAATTACACAAGAATTTTCACTGATAATTGTAAATAAAGATAAATTTTCTTTCCAAGAAAACTACAAAAAAAAACGAAGAAAATTCAACAGAAAAGAAAGAAAAAAGGAAGAACTTTAGCTATCAGTTCAAATATGAAAATCCGGTTAGGTATGTTGAGAAGATAAAATTTTATTTTAAGGTGACCATTACTTTAATTATGAATATGGCGGACATTGATGTAATCTTAGAATTTTTAGGTTATTTTTATTATTTAAGGTTAATTTTCATTACTTATGGTGAGAAAAATAAAAGTAGTTGTAGAACCGCTGCTATCGATAACATTCTGTTCAATGTTAAAACGAGTTACATACTAAATAATTGTTAAAAAATGTACGAACATTTAAATACAGCGGGACAGCAATAAAAAAAAACTATTACCTAACTTATAAAGGAGATATGTAACGTTTATATTTCTTGCAGTATATGAAAGCTCTAATCTACCTTATGTATTAATCAGCTGTTGTTATATTTTATGAAAATATATATGTATTAGTGTAATATTATGTAAATGAATATATTCAAACAGCAAAAAGGATAAATTTTAAAACAATTTTCATCCTCTTGACTAAAACGGAATTAAGAAAAGAAATAACTCCTTTCGAAAAATCTTTTAATTTACAGTTTATTTTATATAGCTAGTTGTGAAAATTTTTTCTTTTAAAGAAAAAATTTCGGGAAATTTTCTATTGTTTTTGGGGATAAAGCTTTGTTTTGTATATTTACTTTCAACTTTTTTTTTAAATTTAATGAGAATTGTTACAGATGGTTTTTTTTTAAATGAAAAAATAGTAAATGACAACATAACTTTCTTAATTCATTTCAAATCGTTGCCCTTTCTTTTGTTTGTCGGCTGGAAATAAAGGAAGAAAATGAAACACGGAATGATTTTAATATGTTCCTGCACTTCTTATGCGATTAAATTTGGACTAGATGTTCAATTTATTCCATATAATGAGTGAGGCGAAATGATGTTGTTCAATGGATTAGTATACATTGCAATCTGAAATATCTTTATTGTTATTTTGTCATTGAAGTAGACAACAATACTTAGTATTAACCAAACATAAAATGTTAAAGATAATATTATACAAAATAATTGGGGGGGTAATCTCCTAGGATCGCAACCACACCGCATTGAGTAAGTTTCTCTATTGTTTCCATCTCTTTGAAAATTTTAGGTTACTTATATTTATTTTATTGTAATACATAGTAAAATTCTAGTTGATAATTATAGATCTTAAAATTTTAATTCGAAAAGCTCTAATTATTTAAAAATTAATTTGGAATGTTCAAATATATTGTATTTATGTGTACACACAGGCTCAATTTTTCATATTCACCATTATTACTTTGCTTCTAAAGTCATTATTTTTATTGATTTTTTTCCATATAAATTATGTTAAAAATAGCTTTAAAAAAATATTATAGTATTAAACTTTTATTATCCTACATAATTTTCTTCTTTTCACCAGCTTACAAAACACACACAAACCAGAAAAGGGAATAGAAAGAAAAATATGTATGTATGTATATGAAATGAGCAAAAGTTCTTTATAACGAAAATAAAAATTAAAGAGAGCAAAATGGGAAAAAAAGAAACCAAAACAAAAAATGAAAGAAATGAATTGAACAAAAGAAAAAATTAAAAATTAAGCAACAGGAAAGAAAAATATCTTTATAAAAAACAACAGCTACAAATATCGAAGGATTTTTGTTTAATTTTCATTAGATTGCAGAAATTAATTTTTGTATTGAAATTCATTCACCAATTGTTTAAAAAAAAGAAGAAAGGAACAAATTAAGCCATGGGAAACTGGAAAAAAACTATAAGTGAAGTATGGAAAAATATTTTCAATAATCAATTTTTTGTCCTCTACGACATTACCGCCTACATGAGGAAAACCGGTATTTTTTAACATTTACAGATTTTTCCGTAAAAAAATTTATTTACAGTTAAACATGTAGAAATTTTATTATTCCCTTATGGAAAGCAAATAATTCTCTGTAAATTCCGTTGATTCATTATTTATTTTTGCTCTTTTACACTTTCTCAATTAGCTTTATTTCTCTCTTATCATGTTATTTGTTGCTTTGTTGCTGAATTTTCTATTACTTTCTTTTTGCTTTTTTTTTAATTTTTTTGTTGTTAATTTGTTCTATTATCTTATCAGTGTATTGGAGTTCTCTTTCTGTGTTTCTTGTTTCCTTTTTGTCTCTTTGCCTCGTTGCATCTTTATTTATGTTTTTCCTTTTTCTCTTTTATACATAAATGTGTACATACTTTCCTCCTTTTTCGTACTATATATTTATTTTTAATATTCTGTCTCTTTGTTGGTTTTATTGTATTTTATTCTTAGATTTTTGGTTTTTCAGAAATTTGTATGTAAACATGTATTTTCAACAATTTTCAATATTGAAATATACTTTATAAGTGTTGTAAATTTATTTTACAAATAGAATATTTTATTTTAAACAAGATTTTCCCTCAGCGCTCTTGTATGTTTTTAATTTTAGCAATATTAACTTTAAATACAGATTTAAAAAATAAATTCATAAAATGAAATTTCCTTTTACGAAATTAGAAATCAAAAATTTTTCCCTTCTTGATTATTTAAGCCATACTATTTTTAGCATTTTAAATTTTTTTTTTGCAAATTTTCATTGTGTACATTTTGATGTAGTAAAATTAGACGCTTTTTTTATTACTTATTTTATAAGAATTTGGAAATATCTAATTGTTTACCTAACTCGCAATTGATTAAACAAATCTAATAAAACATATGTGATTAATTCATTCTAATCAAAAAGTATATAATTTCGAGCTATTTAGCACATTAGGAGTTTTTGTTTCATTCTATTTTTGGTGTAACATACAATAAATTACTTCTAGTGTGAATTTTGCTTCAAAATTAAGAGTTACTTAAATTTAATTGGAAGACTATCCCCTTTACAAATTATTCCCTTTTTAGCGAATTCTCTCGTTTTCAAACATTATCTTAAATTCAATGAACTTGCTCTTCATGTTCTCTTAATACCATTGTTATTATTTTATACTTATTCTGCCTAATATGTTAAAATATACTGGATGATTTAGAATGCCATTGGGTAGAGGATAGACGTCAATATATTGGTTAGATGATCAATTTCCGAAAATGTCTACTTTGTTTTCTTACAACTTGCGTTCCAACGAAGATATGAGTTTTATATCAACAATTTTGGAAAGGGATTGTAAGAACTTTAACAATAAGGTATTATTTTATTTTGTCATTCAATCACCTGGTTTTGATCTAGCTCATTCATAATTGCTATCTTATTATTATGCTTGTGTCTAGACGATCACAGTTTTCTGAGAGATAGGATGAGCATACAAAAAACCCTGTTCGGTCTCCCAAGGATTTCACCTTCACTATTACGACTAGCTGATCCTTGGAGCAGAAGTCTAGAATGGGAAGATACTTTACTTTTTTTTACTAAAGTAGACCTCGGGCCTACCCTTAGTTGCATTGTCATATAATAACTAACCTGTTCTTTAACTACTTATGAGACCCTCTTATAAGGTCGATATCCAGGCAATCCTTCATCAATCTATAAGCCAGGACATCCCCAAATACTTTTGCTTGTGGTAGGTTGCCCTTAAATCACTTGTCTGTTGCGCGCTGATCGCTGGTTCTTTCGATCTGTGGCCACTTTCGTTCGCCTGAAGTGTTATTATTGTCATATTGGGCGTTGGATTTTTAAGTTGTTTTGCCTTGTATCCCTATGACTCTTACGTAATTCTTTTGACCCTTATGGTAATGCGGAAGAAGTTTAGGAAAGTCGGAACTCCGCTTTTTGTAGATCTTTTAAACCGAAACCATCTACGGTGAAGATGATAAAAAACAGGCCCCGTATTATCCATTCCCAGTACCCGTCTGAGTCAATTCCTGGAGAGATTGGTTTCATTTTTTGCCATATACGTCACACATACACGTTCTCTGGGTATATTGTCACCGTCCAGTACCGCAATGTTGCAGCCATGCCATAGCTTTACTTTCCTACAAACAATGGTTATCCAGTTCCTGGTGTTATGATTGTTCCACCTAGCTCGGACACACTTCAAGCATTGTGGGAATCTTCCTAGCTCGGATCTAGTCGGTGTATCTAAGTAGGTTCCTCCAATCCATATCTGCTGACATCATAAAAATACTCTGAAAGGAAAAATGCATTAGTAAAATTTCTCCAAAAGAATATGTATGAATTAAAATGAAGTGTTTGTAACTTTAAAATCCTACAAGCTACCACTAACCTACACAATTGTTGCATGTTTCTTTCGTTTCTGAATTACCCTGTATAGACTATTTTTTTGCTGATCATTTCATTTCTCACTCTTCTCAGTATACCATTATTAAAAAGTTTTCATGAACAAAAAATTAAAAAAGAGAGAAAAAATTATTTTTTATTATAAATAATCCTTATATCCTGAAATCACTATTTGCGAAGCATAATTTTTTTTTCGATTTTGTGAAGAGATTTATAGGGTCAACAGTTTTTTTCATTCAAATAAAATTATAAATAAAATAAAAAATAAACTCAATTGTAATTTTTTTTGTGATTTCAGTTGTAATGAGTTTGAACGTTAATATTTTCTTTACTACGAACAGAAAAAAAGGGGTAAAAAAGGGCAATAAAAATATTGAATTTTTGAACTTATTCTGCATGGAAAAATAATTTTTTTCTTTTGTCCTCTTCTCTATTTTGTAAGATATTCGAATTCAAAAATCATCACAACTCAAAGCGTAATGAAATTATAATCATATATAATATTTATAATATATATATATAAATAATTTACGGTTCTCGTAATTTATATATATATAAATTACGAGAACCGTAAATTAAATAATTTTTCAAAAAGATTTGGAAAAAATGGTAATTTTGCAAAAAAATTTTAACCGACAGTATTATTCTTGATAGTAAAAATGCCCTGTCTGTTATTGCAATTCACCTACAAGGAAATATTTGAGCCTCTCTAATATGGGGTGCGTCAGATTTCTAATAAAGAGCACGTCAGATTTCGTAGTGGAAGGAAAAAAATGACAAGCATTAACAAAAAAGTTTTACAGATCCGGGCGCAGAAGCTTTAGAATCTTTTGTTGGGGTGTAGAGGAAGCAGCGGCGGCTGCGAGACTTCACAGGGCTTTGGAAAAGTACAATGTCTTTGTATCTTAGAGGTTAGGACTACACGACTTCCTTACGATTGTCTAGCGTACTGACAACAGGAACGGTTAGATTAGACCTAAGAAGACGCCTCAGGACGTATTAGTCCACATGGATTGAATTTAATCTCCTTTCATGTTGACGGCCTACCATGAATGCTTTTCGGTCATATTTAATTGTCCTGAGCCCATTGGGTAATACTGAGCGTATTTTTGATTTGGCAAGCACCACTTGAATAGCGACTCAATTAACTCATTGTGTTGTGGAAGAACAAGATGATTCCTACGGTTCCACTGACGAGACATTGTTCTGAGGAAGTTAGGACTACATGCCGAGGGTCTCTGCAGTTTCTCCTGGGAGGTGGAGAAAAGCTTGATCCATGTTCTAGAAGAATATGGAGCTTTAAATCAACTATACAAATCGTATTTAAAGATTGTCAAAAAAATGCCTAAAACAATCCTTTTTTAAGTATAATCACAATTACATTTGCGTCGAGTATCAACATGATTTTCATATAACATTTTCTTTTTTAATTATAATTGATAAATCAAAACAACTAGTTCATATATAATAGTACTAGTTTAGTGCTGTATAACTACTTGAATCAGTAGAACTAGTTGCGCAGCTCTGATATTTTTCACATCACGCTCAAAATACTGACCATAACTATATATCTATACGTTGTGATGAATGCATTTTTTATATGGAGAAATTAAAATTGTTATTGACATCTCTTAAAATTATTTATAAAAATTTTTAGATTTCATTTTGTTCATCACCATTTTGACACCAACAACAATTAATATAAGAAATAAGTATAAGAACAACTATCAAAAAATTTTCCTTTTCTTCTCAATTTAATTTTTACCGTCCTATTCGTCCTTTATCATTTTTCTTCATTTCTTTATAATACTTTATCCGTACATTTTTTTTTTGTTTTTTTTTCTATACTTTTACTATTATTGTTTTTATTTCGCTTCGCTTAACTTTTCACAATATTATCCTTGGGCCAATTAATTTTTGTGGGTAAAAGCTCAACAAAAACAGAAAAAAAAAATAAAGAAAAAATCCAATTTTTTTATCCAATTTAATATCCTGATGTTGAGTTTTTACTACATGTTTATAAAGACTATTTATACCATATAACAACATTATGGTATGACAATATGTAGATGGTGTAAAAAAGAAAGATAAAAAAAATATTGTTGGCGGCGTAGTTATATCCTTTTTTCATTATTACATTTTCGTTGTTATTATTTGTATAATTTTCGTTCTAGTTAATAGAGAATTATTTATTTTTTTTTTATTTTATTGTTTGTTGGTGTTATCCCGAGACTTGTGGTTTTTGGAAGTACTCCCAAAGTTTATTAACATTAAATTTTATGTGTTTTGTATTTAAGCTAGAATTAATTTTTTTCACTACATTTGCAATTATAATATGTTAGATAATTTTTAGTATGGTATTTTAGACGCTAAGTTTTGTTTTTAATGTATGTATCTACATATGTATTAGTAAAAAGAATATAAAGAGTTAGAAAATTTAAATGATTTGCAAATGCTATATATTAAATACCTATTTTTTATAAAACGCGCTGTTAATTAAATGTAATATAAATATCTACCAAACATGTAATACGTT